CTGGCAACTATTTACAGACCTGTTTTTCTTACGTACCGCTTGCTAGCATTGTGTTTGCTTCTTAGAACAGCACCTACGCTTCCTGAGAGCCTTAAAAACACACTTGAAGTGCCAGATCACTGTCCTCCTGTGCCAATACTAAATATAAATCTTTCCACATGACTCAACTGAGTAAAGATCAGATGTTTTTAAAAGGGGTTGATTCTCATTTGCCCGAAGGCTGCTCTGCTAAAAAATTTTCAGTGACCTCATAGCTGAAAGTGACTGAAAATTTGTCCTTTTAGCTGTTAAATAACTGTTCTGCACAGCTTTGTGAACTAGCATGATAATTTGTGTTCTAATTTTTGTAATTTGAGTTTTGATTTATATGAAAATTGACATTGAGATGTCACTGTTGGTAAACCTATTTGGCTAAAATTTTCCTAATGCATTTCTGGGATATGAAAATGCCATTAAACTAGATCAGCAGTCCCTGGTATGCTAGGGTAGTAGGAATAGCCTCTCTTTGGATGCAACTTCATGATGTTTTCTCTCTGAAGTTCTGAAACAAATGTGCTGTGCATCCTGTTTCTCTCCTCCTGCAACCTCTGCCATCTTGTAGGTGGCTCTAGCAGCTCCAGCACTAGCATCTTCTTAGGCTTCTTCTAGGAGGAACTTGTCATCCTGAAAAGAATGGAGAATTTGCCAAGATATTCCGGCTATGGGGACAGCTTTTGCTGGTGGAACAGCCATGTCCTCCTAGTCATGCCACTGGGATGCTGTGTGGGCTCTGTGGATATTATGTGGGATGTGTAATTCTATGGGAGACTGCTTGGTGGAGATGGAAGTTCATCCATTAGGTGTGGATGAGATTCGTGCTTCCAAAAGTGCTGATAACTAATAAAGTGAAGTCATTCCACTTTCCACAGTACAGCAGGCAGAAAAGGTGTCTGTCACTCATGAGTCATCACAGATCTCAGCTCCAGCAGGGAGGTGTTTGTTAGGGTGCAGTATTTGGAAACTGGTGGCGGCAGGGCACAATGTAATTAATTATTTAGCTGCACCTGTGTGAGTATCTGTGTTCAGGATGATATTCTTGCATGGGTATCTGTTGTGACTGGAGAAGCTAGAGCTCTGTCTTCAGTATGTCATAATTTCTTGAGCCTGCAGTCATGTCTGAGTGTTAGTTAATGTAGTTTTGTCCTGATATCATTTGACATGGTACAGGACAGCACCTTTCTCTACACTCTTCTAAAGCTAGCTGTGCTGTCATCACAGTGTATGTGGAAGGGTGCTATTTCAAAATTAGAGAGAGGGTGGTGAAGGAGATAGATGCCAGCTTCAAGCAGACAACATCATTCAGAGAACAATTTTGTTTCAGGTTAATGGGAGATCAGACACAGTATGTCTCAGCATTGAGAGCTATAACTCTGTTCCTGAACTGTCATGATATACTGATGATGAACTTGCAACATTTGGGTAGCATTTGACTGTTCATTGGCACAAATATCCTTTGTGCTGTTCTAAGTATTTTTCTTTTCTTGGGTGGAGATTAAAGGTTTGGGTAGGGAGAAGTAAGTGAGAGAAAACATCTAATACTCACAAAGAGGTAGTACACGTAGCAGTGGCTGAGTAAATAGGAAAGAGAACGGCCTGTGTAGCTGTGGTGGGTTAGCCCTGGCCAGCAGCCAAATGCCCACCCAGCCGCTCACTCCCCCCTGCTTCAGTGGCATGGGGGGAGAAAATAGGATGAGAAAGCTCGTGGGTTGAAGTAAAGACTGTTTATCAATCACTGTTGCAGGCAAAACTCAGCTTAGGGAAAATTAATTTATTGCCAATTAAAATAGGTTTGGGTAGTGAGAAATAAAAGACATTAAAACAACACCTTTCTTCCCATTTTTCCCAGGTTCAACTTCAGTCCTTCATTCCTGACACCTCTAATCTCACCCTGCCCCAAGTGGCATGGTGGGTGGCGGTAATTGTGGCCAGTGCATAGCAGTTTTTCATAGAATGATTGAATGGTTTGGGTTGAAAGGGACCTTAAGGATCATCTACTTCCAACCCCCCTGCCATGGGCAGGGACACCTCCCACTAGACCAGGTTACTCAAAGCCCCATCCAGGCTGGCTTTGAACACCTCCAAGGATGGGGCATCCACAACTTCCCTGGGCAACCTGTTCCAGTGTCTCACCACCCTCAGAGTAGAGGATTTTTTCCCAATATCTAATCTAAATCTATCCTCTTTCAGTTTAAAACCATTACCCCTTGTCCTATTGCTAGACTCCCTGATAAAGAGTCCCTCCCCAGCTCTCCTGTAGCCCCCCTTTAAGTACTGGAAGGTGGCTATAAGGTCTCCATGGAGCCTTCGCGTCTCCAGGCTGAACAATCACATGTGTATTTTCTTGAAGTTTTTGAGAATGCTGCTTTTATTGAAAATAGTAAACCTTTGATGTGCTCACTTAATATTTATGCTAAAAACTAAGTTACTGGTGGTACAAAACCATTATCTGCTATTGGAGAAAAGCAAGTGCTTAAAAACTTCTTAACCGGCCAAACTGAAAAGAAGAGATGAATTAATGCAACAGTTTGTTGTATTATGCAACACAAATAAACATATCATTTAATGGCAGCCTGAATTCCAGCAGGCACGTGTTAAAGTTCATATTCAGCATTTAAGCATTGTCCTGAAGAATAAAAGGTGTTAACAGTTAACTACTGCTGACATTTGTACTTATGAGCAGCGAAATCCTACTAGATTTAATAGGCACTGCTATAAAGACTGCTTTTTGACACCTCTAATTTTCAAAAATTAAAACTGTCAAGAGTGTTCTCTTTGAGGATTAGCCATTTGCTGAAGTTAAAATGCTGCTGTTTTAAAAGCTTTTTTAATAATTTGTTTTGTATGAAAGTAATTGGACGTTTTAGATTAGTATTTTTCTTCACACTGTTACCGCGATAACATTTTGTTTAAAAATTGCTCATACTTTTTGTCCAAGTAGCAAACATTAAAAATGTAAGCCCAAAAGTGTGTGGGTTTTTTTTTTTTTTAATTTGAATGGAGTTAGTCTTGTTGAAAAGTACTGTTAAATCTGTGATAGCATTTAAATTCTCTTAAATGATGTCTGTATGCACTTGCATACAGCAGCTCTACTTCGGTATTTAAGCTAGAAGGTAAGATAAAAATGATTGTGATAATAATGAATATATATCAGCCTATACCCATGTTTTCACAAAATTTACAAGTCCAAAAATAACACGTGTGTGTATGCCATTTTGTGGTTGTTATCACTTGTTCTTTGCAATTGTAATCCTCTCCTGTTAAATATCCTCTCCTGCTTATTTTCTGCCATTATCTGAAGAATCCAGTTTTCTTCATTGCAGTTTCCTCTGTCTGCTTCCCTGTTTTACTGCCCTAGCTCCTGGATTGAAGTCTGCTCTGATCCTCATGAATGTGAATTAGAAGAACCACAGAACAGTGGCGCTTTTCATAGAGCAGTTACAAAGTTAGTGTTTACTCTTCTGTGCGTGACACAGGACTGATCTGTTTTTTCCTTGCTGGTGCAAATAGTTGTATAAAAATACTGTTTGATGTCTTCGGGGGGGCTATAATGTCTCCCTTTCCCATCCAGGCTTAGGGAAAAGTGAAATGTAAAACAACAAAGGCTGACTGCTAAGGCTGAAAGTATCAGAAAGCTGAGCTCCACTTCTGCCCTAAGGATGCTGAGGAACGCTAAGATACTCTCTCCTGCACAAGAATTCAATGCAAAGAGATACCTTTAGATTTAAAGGCAATCCTAAAACAACTATCAGCTCCATCTTCCTCTTTCCTCGCCACTCTTGCCTTCTCACGCTTTTCCTCCGCTCTGGCATGGGTTGCCCATGGGCTGCAGTCCTTCAGGGAAACATCTGCTCAGCATGGGTGTTCCACGGGCCGCAATTCCTTCAGGACTCTCTGTCTCCTCCATGGGCAGGCAGGAGAGTCTTTGCTCTGGTGCCTGGGGCACCTCTTCCCCCCCTGCTCCTTCTCCAGCCCTGGTGTTCACAGGGTTGTTTGTCACCTTTACGGTGTTTTCCGCCCTTCCTTAAATATCTTGTCGCTGACAGGCTCAGCTGCACCCTGTGGTGGGTTGGTCAGAGCTGGCTGCACCCAACATGGCAACCCAGAGTATCCAAGTTAGGCCCTGGGTAGCTCCTGCCTCCATCAGTGCATTTGTTTTGTACCCAGAATTCAATGAGTACACAGGAGTTTTTGTCCAGATGAAAAGATTAATAACCCCTGGCCACAGTCTCGTGGCTGAAACCTTTCTCTGGTCAAAATATTTCATATTCTATTTCAGTCGCCTTTGAGAGCAAGACGTGAGTGTGTGGTGAGCTCTACACCATCTAAAAGGTGCTAATTCGTGAAACTGGGTTGTCCTCCCCTTCAGTGAAGCCACCATCTTTGAAAGAGGGACCTGCTTTTATAAAACAACTTACAGAGTTCATAATCTAACTGCAGAATTTTAAAGAAATACTGATTATAACGGGGTGTTCAGTGGTGTTTGTGTTGTATGGGAAGTCCTAAGGAGTTACATGATAATGTTATGATCCTATGCAAGATGTGATAATGATCCCTTGTCAAGGATTTGTAAACTTTGCCCGAGAATTGCTGTAAATTCCTTAAGCCTTTCCTTAGAGGTTTTTGAAATAATGTAATACCACTTTCAACTTCTGTGAGAATGCAGAACAGTGTATTTGTGTTTGTACTGGGTAGTTGTTAGGAAGAGAAGTAAAAAAACTGGGAAATCTGTTGGGTTAGTGACTGTCAACAGAGTTCTTTGCTGCAGAGCTACTCTGGAGCAATGGTGTATTCATTCACTCTTCCTCTCACATTTTTCTTTATTAAGGTGCAGTTCAGCTGAGATTGAATTCCTCATTGGCTGTCCATAAACTGTGAAACAGAAGGATGCAGAAAACTATCCCTTGCCTTTTTGTACATGAGTGATAAGAGCACAAGATCATTACTACAAGTTTGCTGCAAAGATGAGTTCAGAGGAGAAGAGTATATCTCCAGCTCACAAAACGTCCACTCCATCACATAGAAGTGCCTCCTCTTCATCGTCATCTCAGAGGGACAGGAGGCAGGTAAGGAAAAGATCTAGGCGTTTGTAACATCTGGTGAAATGATTCGTTTATTCCTGTAATGTGGCTGTTAGTTCTCACTAGCTCTAAATTCACTTGCTTATAGCACTGGATGATATCGCTATAGCCCAGAACTGTTGATTTTTCTTTTTCTTTTTATTTTCCCCCACTTTTCTAAAGTGGTTTGGAAAAGTTTCAGAGGCATCGTGGGCACTATGTGTACTGCTGGAGCGGGTAGGATATAATCACATGGACAAGTAGGAAACATGCTCTGAAGTCTTCTGGGAAGTGGTTTCTTTGGCAGTGTGAACCTACAGTTACTTCAAATTTTTTTGTCTTCTCTGTCAATATCTCTTTTTGTAAATCTAACAACAGAGATGTCTTGTCTTTTTACAAGGTGATATTTGAATTCTATTTAAATATCATATTGCTCATCCTTTATGGAAGCATCTAAAATTTTAAATATTGTTTGGTTTACTAGAAATTTACACTGATTGTCCCACGTCATGTAGTACTAGTCAAGTTATGTTAGACTTCCGTTTTCAGGAGACCTTTTTCTATGTGGATGTAATACGTGGATCCCTTTGAGCTGAGGGCTGTATTATTTCCCTTCAAAACAACTTGGGCCTTCCTGTGTACAGTCTGGCCCCAGCATCGGGGGGAGCACTTCAGAGACTATCAGAGCTATCCACTAGGTATCAGACAGATAGGGTGTCATATGTATATTTATAAATGCAAAGGCTGATACTGAAAATTTGATTAGAACAGAAACATACTTTAAAACTTTGATCCATGGAAACCTTGAATGCTAAACCAGCTTCTGAGTTAGTTTAACATCATCATGTTTAAAAAAGAAATGTATGAAATGTAAGAATATAACAACTTAATAATTTTAAATATTGTGAAAATATTTTCATCAATGCAATAGTGGCTTCTTTTCAACTTGACAGGGAAAAGAGACAGGAAAAGAACTTAAATAATTGTTTTCCTTGCATGGCTGTAGCTGTTTTCCCAGCTACTTATATGCTAGCTGTGACACTACTTTCTCAGCTGCTACTGAAGTAGTTTTTTTCCCTTACCTGACTTATAAAAATTTTGAAAACTGAGAATTTTGATGAAAACAAACATCAACATTTACAGCTTTGAATGTAAATAGTCTTACTATATGGAATGTTTAAAATGTAAAACCAGGAGAAGGATTCTGATGTGTGTTTGATAAAAGGCAGGAAATGTGTCTGGAATTTTTTTAATCATTTCCATTGCTTTTCAATGGAGCCAAAACTTATGTTCTCACAGGTGATAAATATTGTTCCTGGCATTCTGTACAGGATTTGGGATAGCTGTACTCAGTTAAACCCTGGTTAGCATATGATCTCCTCTTAATTTTTCATTAGCTCCATCTGGAGCAAGAATTTTGACATCTTTTGTTTAAAGCATCAGTATATTTTATCTCCTGCATTTAAACCCAAAGAAGGTGAATGCAAGACTTGCAGGAGCTGCTGAGCTCAGCTAAGAGCATATCCCCTGAGTTCTTTTTGTAATTAGGTAGTTTGGTACGATCACACAAGTGAGAATGAAAAAAATTACCTTCTGGAAATATATTTTACCATAAATCTAATGGCTACCGTATCTGTTACCATAGCAATGGGGTAGAGAAAGGTATAACTGTCATCATAATGAAATGGATGCTTAACTTTAAGTCCATATTTGGTCACTGAAATATGAAGCATGATTTTAAAATAATGCTAAAGAGGTCAATGGTGTGATGCATCCAGGGCTCTCTTGGATCCAATAATGTCTGATGATGCTTAACAAGTATATTTCGGCGTGTAAACGTGGAGTGGAAAGGCTACTGCTAGCTACTCTTTTTTTTTTTTTTTTTTTGCCTTAGTGCTTTCAGTGTTAAAGGCAGAGAAATATTCAGAAGAAAGAACGGATGGGCAATTTCTTTTGCAGTGAAACTGAGCTATAGTGTGAATCACAGTGTGAAGTGCAATACTATATCCAGGGAAATAAATATACAGATGTTTCCTTGGTGTGCGTAGACACAGTAAATAGACCAGCTTCATCCTACTATTTACTATAACAATTGTATTTCTAATTTCTTTCCTTGCTTGTGGCTCTCCCCCAAATGCAATGATAGCTAGTGCGTAGGGGATTTTGGTCTGGGCTTTACTTTGAAAAGGCTTGAAAATTCTGTTTTGCTGTCTCCTTGGACTCTTCGTAGCAGCTAGGAGAAAAGCACCCTTCCTGAAGGGGTGATGTGAAAAGTGATGTGACTGGATGAAGTGTCAGTGTAGCTTTCATTGTCATATGTGAGGATAACACTTGATATTTCTAGATGGTTAATGACTGAAATCTTCTCATCATATAATTCTTGTCAAAGTCATGCCAGCAATTATGGAACAGTTTCCGAATAAATTATGGCGCGGGAGGCTGAATGGGTGTGAACATGACTATGATAAATCATTTCAGGGAGAGTGGAAAATGTCATGCTGTATATAATGCTGGCATTTTAATGTAGCTTTCTTATTTGTGCAACATACATCACCTAAGAGAATTAGCAGTCAGCAAAAGCTTTGACATTGCCAATTTGGAGGCTCCATGACTAAGTAATTGATAAATGAACAGACTACTGTAGCCAGCGGTAACAAAAAATCTGGGTTCAGATTTTCATTGTCGTAGGAACTTTGGCGTCATTCGTTTTCGTCAAAGTCATGGTTAATTTGGACTATTTGATAGAAGGAGGCCCAGGACCAGCCTGTTTTATTTAACCCCTGAGCTGAGCAGGGTGGCAGGGCGGTTGTGGTGTCCTTGATAAGGAATACTTCAGAATGGAGCAGCAGCAGTTTTTCCTCCTGTGGAACTGTTGCAGAGCATAGAACCCCTGTCATTTCCACTGTCAGGGGATCTCCCTACCCTAAGAAGACTAAGAGTCCCCATACGAAGGGGAGCATAAAAACTGCAATTCTGACAGCCTTTTTTGCGGGCCTTGTTGGAAAGGGAGATTCTTGGTTTTCATCCCTCGTGAAACTCTTAAAAGGTTAGCCATATTCTGTTGCACAAGAAAAATTAGGAAAACTAATACTGTTTTTAGAAAGTACAGCTGAATATGATAAAATGATGTGTTGTGTATTCAGTTTGATGGGTGTAAGTTCTTTATAAATATTCCATATTTTATTTATTGACTAAGTATGCAAGTCATACTGCAAACTGTAATATGTTATGTATTCTCTGCAATGCATGGGTAGTAATATTGTGCTGAGAAGGCAGAAAGAAGTAAATCCATTATAGGGTTAACAATGTGCAGTTTGGTAAACTGGGGCCTGACCCCAGGCTATTAAACAGAGGGAGTGATAGTGAAGGACAGTAATAATAATGAAATGGTGAACAAAGGAGAGATTTTGACTTTTCTGACCACCATCTGAAGGGTATCTAATATGTGATGTGAAGTGGATTATGTCTGCTATTTTAAATACAAGGATCACTTCTAATGTACCAATTCTCTTTTTGTTTTTTTAGAGGGGAGGGATGGTCATGTGTTATCTCTTTCTCTCTTTGTTTCTCTTTGTCAGATTACTGTTTTAACAAATCCTTGGTTCTTTTCCCACACAGCAAACACAAAAGGAGAAGAGCTTTTAGTCCTGTTGTGTTTGGCCTTGAGTGGTCACCTTTCTACTAGGAGAGCTTTCATATTTCAAATGACTATTGTCTTTCAGCCATATATATGTAAAGAGTGAAAGATAGGGGCTTTGAAGAAAAAAGAAAAAATATTTTCCAGAGCAGCCATCATCTGCTTTTCAGATTTTAATGCAGGGTTTTTTTTCTTTCTGTAAGAGCAATATTGACTAATAGAAGGTTTGTACTCAAGGGATGCAGAAAAGGCCAAGTATGGGCTGAAGATGTTTACCTGGCCTTGAAATTTAGGAGCAGAGTGCAATTCCAAAGTCAAGGCTCTGGTCTTGCCTAGAGGTCTGTGCTGAAAAATACCTAGTTAGCTTTTTATAACCACTATATTTTAATTGTCAAAGTAGTCTCCAGAAAGCAGTACTTCCTAAGGCGAGTATCACTATTTTGTAGATATAAAGGCTTTAATGATGATGGAAGGATCGAGTCATTTGTCTGCAGCAACCTTAACCAAACCTTAGTTTATAGAGTAACTGGAAGACTATAAAAAAGTTACTGCAGTAGGTGAATCTGAGGGTGAAATGTATGCTACCTGAAAAAAAAAAAGACTAATAATCATTATTTGGATATAGGGATGCAGTAGAAATCTAGGACTCACAGTGCTCTGCACTGTATTAAGCATGTTATAAAAGGCAGTCCCTAGCATAAAGTGCTGATTAGATGAGACAGACATAGGCTGGGAGCAAAAAAAGAGAGCAGTGACTTGTCTGTTGTCTCTTTCATCAACTAGTGATAAAGCATAATAAGAAGACGTGTGCATAATAGGAAAATAGCATGGGTTCTATGTCAATTCTGAAGTTTCATGCTTTCAGCTAACATTAAGAAGAGTAAAAGTAGAATTATGAAGGGAAGTCTCTTTGCTAAGAAAACTGCCACCGAGTTTTTCCCAGGAGCTGCAGATTTTTCATAGGTATACTGCAGGGACCACCAGGTTCTGTGAAGCTGAGTTCACATGGGCGATCTGCATGCCACAGCAAGCAGGTGGCGCAGGAGGGAGAGGGAAGCAGTGCCAGGAGTAGAGTGCTCAGTTGTGCAGTGTAGAAAGCAAAAGGTACTTGATTTAGAAAGTGATACTCTTGGTCGGGAAATAAATAGGTGAAAGAAGTGAGTAGCGGGGAGAGAACTGGGCAGGCCAAATGCTTCGTGAGGTTGTAGGACATGAAACTAAGAAGCAAGGACTGGTTTGTAGGGAGAACAACTGGCTGAAAATGTAGAGAGAAGGAAAGCAAGGGGAGAGGTGATTTTGGTTTTTTTGTGACCAGGAGTATCTGAGAGAGCTGGTTGATGTGTAGGGAGGAAAAAAAACCCCAAAGTTG